GGGTTAACCCTTGGTGTTCACTTAGTTACCTTCCATGCAGATCAATGTTGGATTCCCTAATTGTGCCTGATGCCTGTCTACTTCAGTGTAGTCACAATGCTGGAAAGTAACTTCCCCAAATGCAAGGGATCTGCCCATGAACACATTTAGCACAGCCTTCATATGGGGTCAGATACATATACCAAATAATTTTCTAATGTTAACAGAGAATCCTAATCATCTCCGTGAGGGTCATAACTGAATAATTAGATAATATAAAATTCTACATATAGGAGGGCATATTTTTTATTTTCCAGTGACCTAGATTAAAATAATTTTAGTTTGTAAAATTGTTTGCAGACTCTAATGCAGACTTGAAAATGGGAGCGTGCATAGCTTCCTGGAGCTACTGAGTTTATTACAGCAGGTGTCTGTCCTCCTGAGCTCATCTCCCTCATCTCTGAATTTGATAAAAACCACATTATATAATGTTTGTGAGGACAACTGGCTTATTGTTATGATTGTTATTGCTACTTTAACAAGAGATTAAAGAACTAAAATAGGGATTGGAGAGGATATTTATGTCCTCTGCAGACCTATAACAGTCATGGCATGAAGTGCTGCAGTTTATTCCTTAATATGAGGAAATTAGATAATTTCATATCAGACTTGCTGAATCCCGCAGCCTCCAACAGCATGGAGCACGGATGTAAATCAGAAGAGCAAATAGATTTTGACATTTAAAAATGGAATGCACAGTAGGAATTTAATCAGCACATTTACCAACATAATATTTCCTTTGAAGAGAGGTTTCTTTCAAAAAGACACCTCCGGTTCTCTGTATCATGAGGCACTGTTTGAAGTGACAGCATGGCTTGAGGTTCCAGCAGAAGTTTCGGATTCACTCTCTCAGTGTGTGACCTTAGGTGCGCTCTCTCTGCCCCTCATTTATCCTAACCGTCCTGGCAGGATCCGAAGATGAGGTCTATTTAGTCTTTTTCATTTCTTTAAAGAAAATTACTAGATAAGGATGCCGTACCATTTATCAAGTCACTGACACTTAATGAGCTGCTTTTCATTAATCAATCAAATGCACAGCATCAATTTAGTGACCATCAATTTAATATGAGGACAAGAAATAGGACTGTGGGGGAAGGAGACAAAGAGACACAGAGCCATTCCATTATTCATTGAGTGCCTATGTTCTAGGCACGATACCAAATGCTAAGAATTTTTGAAGTGAGTGATAACTTTATGTGCTGGAGAAGCTCATAGTCATACAAAAGACACAGATCAAGTGAAGGTTTTACATTTGCTTGGAAAAACAGACCACACACCCTAAAGATAAGATAAGACACTACCAATCAACTTACTTAGCCAGCAAAAATCTGGATAGTGAAGATTTACTAAACTTTATTATTATTTATTATTATTAAGCTTTATTATTCCCACTGTTAGTTGAGTTTATGATAATTGGGGTAGAAACTGTTTGCCTATTCATGGAAAACATTAAAAATGTAAGCCAAGGTATAGAAAGTGCATTTCCATTACTGTAATGTTTAGTATTGTAAGTTTCTGCCCCACCCCCACCCCCCCAGGTCCTCTCCTCTTCAGAACCTTTGCTTAAGAACCAAATTGTATTGCATTTGTTAAGAACAATTGAATTATACTAACCATAGGCATCATGCCCAGAAAGCCTTATATTTTAAAAACCAAACACTATGAAAAAATAAGAGTGTTTTCTGACCGATAACAAAGAGACATTGGACAATTTAGCACAGTGAGAAAGATACTTTAGAATATTTTTTCCTTTCATTTTACTGACTACCCAAAATATATGTAGCCAGAGAGAAATTATCTGTAGGTTGTATTTCAAGGCCTACTAGCAGGTCAGTTATTTTGGATTTGTCACATCCCCAGAGAAATCTTTTTATATGAAGGCTCTACTTTCCAAGACAGTCCACAAAAATCTAGGTCAACTTGAAATATGAGTGATAACTCATGCAAATGCAGTATTTTGCAAACTATCAGCTGCTAAGTTCATGGATATATATGATTCTGTAAGAATTTTTAAATTTTGTGTTTTTATTGTGATGACAAGCTAAAAAATAATATAATCATATTCTGGATCATCTAAATGAATACTTATTTTGTGATTCTCAAAATTATGTTTATGATTATCTTTATAATTCCTTTAGTCTTGTGTTATTGTAACCGTGCAGAAACCTTATTTTCACATTATTGCAGGAGTCCCAGCCCCCCTCACCCCCCACTTTTCCCCTTTGCCTACCTCCACCCTCCCCTACCTACCTCTTCCTTGGACTTTACCAAATTATTGTCTGTGTCTATGGAATATGCATAGGTGTTCTGTAGCTATTTCCTTCATCTTCTTTATCCAATCACTACTCCATCCCTTTCCCTTTGTGCATCAGCCAGTCTAGCATTCCATGTATTTTTGCTTCTGATTACATTTTGTTCATCAGATTTTTTTTTCATTAGATCCCACATATTAGTGAGATCATATGGTATTTGTCTTTCTCTGACTGGCTTATTTCACTTAGCATAATACTCTCCAGGTCCATCCATGCTGTTGCAAAGAGTAAGACTTCCTTCTTTTTTACAGCTGCATAGTATTCCATGGTGAAAATCAGGGGTCCTCAAACTTTTTAAACAGGGGGCCAGTTCACTGTCCCTCAGAACGTTGGAGGGCCAGACTATAGTTTTAAAAAAAACTATGAACAAATTCCTATGCACACTGCACATATTTTATTTTGAAGTAAAAAAACAAAATGGGAACAAATACAGTATTTGTATTTGCATGTGGCCCGCTGGCAGTAGTTTGAGGACCCCTGGTGTAAATGTACCACAGCTTTTTGATCCACTGATCTGCTGATGGAAACTTGGGATGTTTCCAAACCTTAGCTATTGTAAGTAATTCACCTATAAACATAGGAATGCATATATTATTTCTGATTGGTGATTAGGATATATTCCCAGAAGCGGGATAGCTGGGTCAAAGGCAGTTCCATTTTTAATTTTTTGAGGAAACTCCATACTGCTCTCCAAAGTGGCTGCACTATTTTGCATTCCCACCAGCAGTGCACGAGGGTTCCCTTTTCTCCACATCCTCGCCAGTACTTGTTATTTGTTAATTTATTGATGCTAGCCATTGTGGCAGGTGTGAGGTGATATCTCATTGTGGTTTTAACTTGCATTTCTCTGATGATTAGTGATGTTGAGCATCTTTACATATATCTATTGGCCACTTGTACATCCTCTTTGGAGAGGTGTCTAATCTTATTTTTTTAAATCTGCCCTTTATTTTGATTTTTTTCCCCTTTGATTCAAACTGGCCTCAGCCAGTGCCTGGACTCATCTACCTCCCTCCCCTTGCTTAATTATTAAGTCTCAGGACAATGAGGTTCTGGTCAGTATCCAGTAGTCTTGGGTCTATTGACTACAGATACAGAGTTTTCAATCAAAATAATAATAATATCTTGGCCTCAGTTATGTTTTAGCTCTGGAAAACGGAACAATCTCACAGAACAAATCCTTGTGAAACGGGACAGAACAACCTCCATTGTTCACATCAGGACTAGATGGAATGATTAATTACCTGTGACTTTGGGCATGGCACCATATCCTTAATAAATCCTCACTTTCTTGGCTGCAAACTCCTGTTCATGTCTTATGGGGCTTTGATGCGTGCAGGCAAATGCCCTTTCAGTCCGGTAACATTTCTGATTTAACAGTATTAGAGGTGGACTATGTATATTGGTTAATAGCTGGCTGCCATTTGATTGGCTTAGAAAATTTCTCATAAAATTCCAGATTTCTGAATTTTGAAGTCAGAAAACAAGACAACTATAGGCCTGCCGATCCCTGTGGCAGTAATAGAGCTAACCAGTGGCTGTTTGTAATATAGGTCCTCCTTCTATCAGGTACATTTTCCACCTATCTATATATATGAAACCCTAATATGCAAATAGACCGAACAGCAAAACAACCGAACAACAGAACAACCAGTCTCTATGATGTGCGCTGACCACCAGGGGACGTGTGCAGAACATGGCAGGCGTTGGCAGCAGAGCATGGAACATGGCAGATGTCAGCTGCAGTGGGATGGTGGAGCAGGTAAGCAGGGGCGCCAGACCAAGGCGGGGTGCTGGTCGCTGTTATCTGGGCGAGCCTCTGGTGGTTACTGAAAATTCTTTGCCTGGCGCGGGTCCGATCGATCGGCACCCTCAGCGGGTGCAAGTGGTGGCTGCCGGCCGCAATCACCCCTGAGGGCTTCTTCACCTCCCCTTGCTCCTGAGGGGTGATGGGGCAGCAGCTATCACTCGCACCTGCTGATAGCACCAGCCCCAATCTCTCCGTGCTGTCAGCGGTGCAAGTGGGGCCGGCGCCATCAGCCTGTGGGAGCAGCAGCAGTGGGAGCGGGGCTGCTGGCAGACAGGGGACCAGTGGCCATGGAAGGAAGGGCCGGGCAGGGGTGCGGTGGATGGGCTGAGACCCGCCCTGTGCCCACCGCAGCCTCGTGGCCCACAGATCCTTTCAAGGTGCACAAATTCATGCACTGGGCCCCTAGTATTTTATAAGCATTAGATTTTGTGTTTCCCCACATAAAGCAATGTTGTGTATTTCCCAGGATGTGATGGCAAGCATTCTGAGAAAAGGGAGTCTATCCCTAGGCATACGTTGTTGGTAAAACAAACATTTGTGAGTAGGGGCTTCTACTGGAGATGGCTTTTCTCCAGAGCACCATCACACGCTTTTCTGTAATGGGGGCTTGGCATATAGCTTGAAATAGAAACTAACCTTTAGAAACTAATTTCTAAATCAGTGCATGCATAGACTCAGAGACTTGCTGAGTGTCTCCCCACAACCATTCCCAACCTGACCCATAATACCTGTCCCTCATCCAGTATGTGCTTCCTTCCCTATTATTATTTGTTATTCATCTTTATTTCATTAATATTTAAAGATCATTGCAGGTATTCACTGAAAAGGGCAGCACTTACCACCAACCATGCAAAGGTGAACTCAGATGAAATTCCCGAGGAGATATTTTGAAGGCATGGTATTTTCAGAGTCTGATTTATCTCTATTTCTATTGTATTGTGGCTTCTCCATTCTTCCTGTGTAACTGTAACAAAACATAAGATGGAAAAGACATGGATCTGTGATTGGTTTATAAAGTGCCTTTTATCAAAGAAACGAGAACCGTTTTAGCATAAAGATTCATCCATCCTCAGGGTATACCTAAGAAGTAAAGAGGAGAAATCCCATTAGAGTCCTTACTGTGTAAATGGCAAAACAAAGTCACTAAGAAAAATCACCACTGAAAAATTATAGGGACTCTTTCCTAAAAGAATTAAGTTCACAATTTGACATGTTCCTCTGATTTATCCCTAAATTCGTGCTTTAGTCTTCAGATCACATTTCCTTAATCAGATAGAATGTAAAACATGAAATCTTAGCTTATAATTGCCCTTTTAAATTTTAATAGACTTAATATTTTTATGTCTGTGAACCTAAAACAGCAAAACGAGTGGAAAGTACAGAGAGTTCCCATATTCCCCTTGGTCCCATGCTTGCACAACCTCCCCCACTATTAACATCCCTAATCACAGCGTATATTTGTTACAATCATGAACCTACCCCGACTCATCTTTATTACCTAAACTGCATAGTTTATTTACATTAGGGTTCATTCTTGGTGTTGTGCAGTCTATGGGTTTTGACACATGTATAATGACGTGTTCACCATTGTGGTATCATACGGAACAATTTCACTGCCCTGAGAATGGTCTATGCTCCATCTAGTCATCCCTCCCTCGCACCAAACTCCTGTCAACCATGGATTTTTTTCCTGTTTTTATAATTGTCTTTATAGTGCTTATAAATTCCTTCAAGTAAAAAATGATACAGAAAAATATATAAGGAAAATCTAGGGAGACATCATTAACACATTGGTTTCATTTTTAAAGTGATATGAGATAAATAGCTGTCTATAGACTTTTTGTGTGGAAAGTTTTATACACACACACACACACACACACACACACATACACATATATCCATTTTTTATTAAACTAAAACATCAAATAATAATACTATATACTAAAAGGTTAATATTCAAATTGTCTCCTTGACCGGGAGTTCGACTTGGAGTTTGACCAGGGGGCCAGGCTGTGCCACCAACCGCCTGTGGCCCCTCCCTTTGGCCACCCCCTCCCCATCAGCCCCCCACCAGCCAGACCCCACCCGTGCATGAATTTGTGCACCAGGCCTCTGGTATATAATAAAAACAACTCTAGCATCCTAATATCTTAAAAACCTTATTTTTATATATATGCAAATCTTGTTTGTGTGCATGTGTTTCTCATACTTTGCAATCCTATTAACCAAAAAATGTTACCTATGAATTTTACTTAAAAATGTTTTGCGTGATTCTTAAACAATTTGTGGTTAACATTTTTAGAGGCTTTATGTCATTCCATCATATATACCCACCGTCATTTGTTTAGTCACTTCCAATTATTGAATGATTATGCTCTTATAGTTTGGATTCTTACTTTATTTAAACTATTACAATCTATATAGCAAAGATCATCCTATACTAATAGCTTTTCTGACCATTCAGCTACTTAAGAATAATTCCCACGAGTATGATTAATGAATCGTGGATTAATATTCTCATTATTATCAACAGTATATATATTTAGAGTGGAATATTTCTCAGTTTGAGGATGGTATATCTACCTAGCCTTTAGAACTTTGTTATAGTTTAATCTCTCATAAGTTCCAGCTATTCTTTCTACTCTCTCCTCCTTCTATGCTTAATTGAAACCAGGCCTTCCCATCAGGGAACATCTTCCCTGCATCATTTTCAAATAATAGCTGCTTATTTTCTTGTACCCTTATTTCCTCAAGATTAGGAGTTGTGTCAGCACCTTCCTTGCTCTCCATTGCTACTTTCAAGTATTACTCCAACCCCATAACTTAAAAAAAAGCACACCTTCCCTTTATAGTTAAAGACATTTAGCTATAACAGTATTTCCAAATAAAGTTCTTTGTATACCACCATCACAATATTTTTGCCATATTTGCATACCATCATTATTACTATTTAATTTTATTCTTGAAAATATTGTAATTGTTTTACTTAAATACATTTATTTTAAACAAACAATTATCTAGGCACTAATATTTGTGAAGTCCATAAAATCCACCTTATATATTAATTATATTTTAATGTATATTACCCAAATACATAAAGTATTACATTTTTGTAAATTTTGTCCAGATTGTGAGGTTGTCATCAAAGAATTAAAAATCTATCAAAAACAATAACCTAAAAATATAATATCAGAAATTGAGAAGCAACTTGATGGGATTGAAAATCTATTGTACATTACAAAAGATGGATTCATGAGATGGAATAGAGAATTTATAAAGTGAATCACAGAAAAGAAAAAAGTAGCAAATGTAGAAAAAGACACTTTTGGGATGTATATAAATTTAGGTACTTTTTTTTACAATTGAAACCTAACAAATTTAAATGTTAATAAAAACACCATGGAAGTGATTGAAATAATGACTGCATTTCTATATAATCTGGAAATGGGGAAAACTTTTCCTGTGATTCAGAATCAGGACCAACATGAAAAAAGAGTGAAATATTTTATTTCATAAAAAAAAGTTATTCTGCACTGGAAACATTATCATAGAAAGCAAGGAGAGACGAAAAACTGGGCAAATATTTGCAACTTATATGCAACAGTTAATAGCTTTCATATATGGGGCATTTTCAGCATAATAAAGATAGTAACCATATGAATCAAAACTCATAATGGGTTTAAATTATGTAAATTCATGACACTTAACACAAAATAATTACTGTCACTTAAGAGTGCTAGTGAACCAATTTACTTTTACATCTGGTAAATACAGGAAAGGACCAAGTAAGTATCTGTTCTGCTTTCCTTAGACAAACTGTATATCATGTAAGTAATTGGTGGATAAGAGAAAGTTTTCTTTATAAGAATGCATCAGCTAATAAATGAAGGAATGGTAGATTTAGAACATCTGTTTGGCAATCCATAATAAATTAATGGATCTAGGTAATATTCATTAGTGGCTGCTTATATTACATGGCCAGATATTATGTGCTTCTGATGTAATTCTATAACATCATCTATGATGTACTCTTGCCAAAAAACAAAACATAAAAACAAAAACCTTAATGTGATCAAATCTCTGTATTTAACCAAAAGGTGACAGAGGAACATATAGATATGGGGATAATCAGGCTACAGATAATCAAATTTACTCAACAAATACGTCACAAAAGAAAAATAAACAATGTAAAATAGCCTTCAGGTGAAAGAGATTTATTAAATAATCACAACACATGGAGATTATTTGAATCCTAATTTAAACCAAATGTAAAAATAAAGATTATGAGGCCAACTGGATATTTGATGACAAAGGGACTTACTAGTTTTGTTGTTGTTGTTTTTTAATTCTGATAGTGGTATTATGGCTACATATTTTTTCAACATCTTTATCTTTTAAAGATTTATCGTAAAATGAATAGGGTATCTTGATTTTCTTCAAAGTATTTTGTGAGGGGGCAGTTGATAAGAGTTTAAGGAAAATAAGATTGCCTATGAGTTGATAATTGTTGACATTATATGTTTAGAATTTTGTTATAGTTTAATCTCTCATAAGTTCCAGCTATCTTCATGATACTATTCTATATAATTTTGTATATGTTTGATATTTTCCACAATTAGGAATTTTTAAGTTTTTTCATGCATCACCTAAAATCATCTTGGATACTAGCAGCTATATGTAACACACTTGAGAAAAATTAAAGAATCCCTCTCCCCTACTTTTCCTCTATCCAACACCTGTCTTCTTTCTTTTCTTTTCTAATATCATTTCTATTACCCAAAGGTTGTAAAACTATAGCCTGTGGGCCAAATTTGGCTTGCTGCCTGATCTATATATATAAAAGCTTCGTATGCAAATTGTCCCCGCTGGAGTTGAACCAGGAGACTGAGAGTCCAGTTGCTCGCTATGACATGTGCTGATCACCAGGGGGCAGTGTGGAATGAAGGAAGGCCCTAGCTGGCAGCCAGAAAAAGCTGGGGAAAAGAGGCCCTGGCTGGCAGCCAGAAGGCCCTGATCGGCCCTGATTGCTAGCCAGGCCTAGGGACCCTACCCATGCATGAATTTCATGCACCGGGCCTCTAATTTTGTCAATAAGGTTCTATTATAGCATACATTTTGTATAGAGGTGCTCTCATGCTACAAAGGTGGAGTTGAGTAGTTGTAACAGAGACTGTATGGACCACAAAGCCTAAAATAGTTACTATCTAGCCCTTCAGAGAAAGTTTGCTGACTCCTGCTCTAACTTTTCATCATCCATTATTCCCTGATATAATCCTGGGTAATTTCAGTAACCATGTAGATGACCTATTCAGTACCTGGCCTCTCAGTTCTTTCCACTGTCATCTCCATCAACTGTCTCTACTCCATTTCAGCCAAGTACTCTCACAGTCACACCTCAGACCTATCACCAGGCACTATTGCTTCACCTACAAAATCACTAATTCAAACCTACAAATGCATCTTCTTCTTGTGCAACTAGTCCCATCTCAACTGTTCTCTGACCTTATTGGATTTTTTAATGAGTTGATATCTCTACTTTCCCTCAATCCATCACCTGTCTTCTTTCTTTTCTTCCCTCATTATCAAGCTAAACTTCCATAGTTTCTATCATTTCAATAATATTCCTTCTTATATCCCAAATCCCTTGCCTTTTTTTTCATCTGTTTAAAGAGAATTGGACTGTGGTAGACCCAAACTGTTTACTTTTTAATGCACAGACCCAAACAGCCAAGCAGCGCTGGAGAAAGCCACAGTGCAAATTGTTTTTACTGCACTTTCATACCACAGTCAAATGAATGTTCAACACTGATCAAATATCCAATACATCTACTAGTACCTAGTGAACTCATTTTCCTTCTATCTATAGAAGGTATTTCAAACCTCTCCAAATGTCTTTTTCTGAAGCCTCTTTATTTGCCTGAAGATAATCTTCTCCATTTTAGAGAAAAGATTACAAGATGGCACATACCTTGTCATATGTACTCATCCTAGTTTCCTTCTCTCCTGGTATAATAAAAAAGTTCTTTTTTCCATTTCAAGATAGTCCTACTACTAATGTTATGGATCTCAATGCCTCCATCTTCTCAGAAACTTTAATTTATTGATTTTACCTTTTTCATTGTATATTTAACTACTCTCAACTGCATCTTGCTTATTGGCTTTGAAACAATAGTCAATGTCTTTCATTAAATAAAACCATCACTACCACCACCATCACTATGACCACGTGAATGAAAATCCTCATTTAAGTTCCCCTACCCTTTGCATTACTACTAACACATTTCTTAGTTGTGTCAATATTTGCTGTTTTCACTTCTTTTTAAAAAATTTTGTTGATTAAGGTATTACATATGTGTCCTTATCCCCCCTTTACTCCCCCAACCCCCCACTCATG